ATCGTGCCGCCGTCCTCCTGACATTAAGGAAAATATTGAGATATATATACGGGCGGTGTGCTGCCGCTGGAGAACGATGCTCAAAAGTAATTAAAAGCCAACAATTCCGGGCAATATATTTTATTATGGGCCGCGGCATTGTTTCACAAATTCTTTTAATTCAAGGGTCCAATAAGCGACTTAAATTTCAACCGGCGTACACAGCTTAAATGTTTGATGGGCTTGTGGTAGCATGCATCAAAAGTTTTGGTTGTAACGAAATATTTAATCGAATTACAATTCCGTTTGATGGCCGACATGGACAACATTTGTTTTTAGCATTTGTTTGTTTTAGATACATATTTAAATATTTCACAGGCCAAACTTTAAGCCGACCAAAGTAAAAAACCAACGAGCAATTCTTTGTCTGTTCGATTTTACGGATAAAAAATTGAAATGGATATTTACCCTGAAATAGGAAGAATATTGGTAAATATGAAATACAAGCTTAGCTTGAATATTGGCATCAAAAAGTGTGGTTTTTTGCTAAGAAATAAATCATAAACTTCAAAAAAGCAATGCAATTACTAATAAATTTATTTGTATTTAAAGAACACAGAAAAAATTGTACGTTTTTTCACGCATATCATGCGGAATACTCTATTTTTTTTACATCCAGAGTATTTTTAGTTTCGACTTTTACAATCTGCATTCGCTTACCCCTTTTAAGTACACTTTTTTCATCTGTGAAGCAGATAAAAAATGCATTGCATATTATTTATTTCACGCCCGCGTTCAGAACATGAAATAAGCTGGAATTTAAATATTTGCATACTCCTATGTTCTCTTTTATTTGCATTGTTTAACATTGTTAGGACACGAAGGGGAAAAAGCGGAAAAAGATGGGCGAGTGACAATTTGTTTCTCTGGTGAAAAGCTTGCGCTTGAATAATTGAACAAAAGCTGCTGGCAATTGAATATTAATGAGCAATTAGCGGAGGACCCTCGACAAACACAAATAGCTACAAAACTAAGCCAAATGCAATTTGCATGGTCAACACTGCGTATGGGCAATATTTATGGGGAACGCACCACACGAAAGAGCCATAAAACTTGCCAAAGAGTTAACCAAGGTGCCAACACAGACTCAAGCGGTATAAATTATTTGCAGTAGACTGATTGGCAAAAGCAATTGCAGGCGGGCGGGTTGGTATTGCAATGGAAATGGAAAATGTGAAATGGGGAAATGGGAAACAAAACCGGGCTAGCAATCCAACTGAAGCTGTATACGTATACATAACAGCTGCAGCCGCAAAAGAGTGAGTGTGGACAGTCGGGCGTGGGAAATCGAGATGGAAAAACTAAGAGGAAAAACTAAAAGCGGTGGGTGGGAGGAGAATGGGTGGGTGGATGGTCGGTGCGGTGGAACAAGGAGGCCAATGAAACGGCCTTTCAGGACATGGGAACAAGGCGCAAACACTCGACTGCAAAGATAGAGAAAAATGGCGCATGAAATGAAGCGGAAATGGTGCAAAAAGGAGCCCAACAACAACAACACTGCAAAGGGGCAAAGCGGAACCGGAAGTGGGTCTTGGAATGCCAAGAAAGTGGCGGAGAGGAAGGGACGGTCGGTCGGCAGCCACTTACAGAGCTGAACTAATATGTACATTAGTATCTTTTGAATGCATGCGAACAACTGATAAATGTCTGGTCATGTCTGTATCTGTATCTGCACGCACACACATAGATACTTTTGTGTGTGTAAGCTTGTGGTGAATGAAATCGAGCGTCGCATGAAAAATGTATGCCATTTATTTTACTTTATTTTAGTTTGCCCCGCCGCCATCCGCTTGCCCCGATCCCTTTTCACGTACAGCAAACATCTGGCATTGGCAAGGGGCAAACAATGAGACATTGCTTTGGCTTGCATTCGGAAAACTGCACTTTGATGGGCCACACACACACTTTCGGATCGCACACATAAAGGCAGCAATTGTGGCATGTGTCAGTGGAGGAGGGTGGCTTGAAAAGTTCTGACAGAGAAGGTTAATTTGAATGTAGTTGTGGTACCCACATGCTGATATTGTTTGGTACATTGCAATTTATATTGTAAAAGGGAAACATTATACAAAATGAGAAAAAAAAATCGATCAAAAAAGGAATAATAAACTAATGATCAGTTTGTAAAATATTCGAATAACCAATTCAACAAGGTAAACCACTAATAAATTGGATAAAAATAACCAAAGTTGTAGGTTTAGCAGTGCACGGATCTGGTTATTTTCCTGCTAATCTATTTTTTCAAATTTGATTTTCACTTGCAAGTCCCCAATAATTACCAAATTTTTAAAACTTATTGAATGGTTTGGACTTGCAACTTATGCCACAACCCTCTCGTTTTAGTTATTTACTTGATTTATGACTTGGTGGGGTAAACAACCAAGGCAAAAAGAACGAGTGCCTGGGAACGGTTACCCAGCAAAAGGCGGCATCCACAACTATTGCATAGATAGGCAATTTTCGTAATTGCTGCGATGCGGATGCGAATGCGAATGAGTGGGTGGATCGGGGGGCGTGTAATGGGGATGGGGGGATGACATGGTCAGGGGCAGAGTGCGGTGAACCAAAGTTGATTTATAGCCGTGTGCGTCCTGTGCCGCTGCTTCAAAGGACACACTGCATAAATATGCGATAAGCCCGACAATAAAAAGCGAGTGACATTCCCACACACTCAAACTCGCACTCTCACATCGCTGACACGAACATAGATACAGAAACAGTTGGCATACACTTGCATAATGTATGCAGGCGACTGCCGGACAAGTTGCGAACCGCAACAAGTGCACTCAACATGGCCAAAAGGGGGGAGTGGCAAGAAGGGGATATGGAAAGGGAAGGGGGAGGGGCAAGGGGCGGGATCATACAGGTGCGGCTGGGTGTGCATTTAAGCGACATGTGTCGTCTTCACACTCAACTGCACTTCAAACGAACTCACCTCACGTAACCAAGTCCTAAACTCTGCGCCAACTACAGTGAATGCTGCCTAACCAACGTTGCTAACAATATATATAAAATATAAAATAAAAAAAGGTTTTAATATTTCATCCTATTTTAACTTATAATTTTTATGCTTTGCCTTTTTAATAAACGCTTCTCATTAAAAACCTTCTCTCTTGAGTCTGTTTATCCTTTAAAGTTTCCGTCCAATTATCTTTGAGCAAATTTTAATTATGAAGGTTTGATTTTTGTTTGAAAGGTTTTTAAAAAGTTTGACTTAGAAAAGTTTACCCGTAGCCACCTTGAACTGAAGTGGACTGGCATAAACTTCCGCATTAAATCGACTTTGAACTTGAAAGCGTTAGTTACACGGCCACTCGGAAAAGCGCATGCTGGCATTTGAAGGTTATTATGGCCGGAACTTTCTGAACGCACCTTGAACGAAGGCTTTTCTCTACACAGAAACCCCAGGTTGTTGCGTAATAAGGCCTCTTTGCTCCTCGCCTTCACAAAGTGATGAAAGAGGAGTTTCTTTTGTAGTTCTTCTCTTTTTTTGGAAAATTGCACTCACAGGCTGCCTTTGAAACGAAGGCTTAAAAGCATATATGTCAGAAAAAAGGTAATGCAAGTGGCTGCTAATAAAGTCAGGTGGAAATTCAAAAGGACAAGTAAGGATTCAAAAACTCTCAAGTACCAACAGTTTTTTCCTTGCAACAATTCCATAGAAAGGAAAGTAGACAAGTAAAATGTTTTTTAAACGTAAAGTACAGAAGTTTTCCATTCCAAAAAATGTTGGCAAAATTCTCCAAATACCCCTTTTCTTTAAACAATAAAACAAAGTACGATTTATAATATTGGGGTCCTGTTGTCAGATTTCATTCTTGTCTATCTTCTTTTATTTCTCCTCAAGGCTAGAAGAAGCCATATCATAGAGTTGGCAATATTCCTACTGCTGACCTAGAGTACGATCCTGGGACCAGGACTATAAACTCCATTGGCATTAAACATGCAACATTCTCGCTTTGGGTTTTATGGCGCCGCAATGTGTACTATAAGCATACACAACACCCACACACAGTTGTGGGTAAAATATTTTTCTACAAAAATACAACTAGAAACTTGAAATAATATTTTATTCTGCAGAACTAGTGAACCAATTAATATTATAATTACTTATCCAAAAAGCAAAAAAATACCCCTCTCTAACCCTAAACTCTTAAATAATATAAATAATTAATTGCAACAAAGACAAAACTGAGAAAGTTAAATATTAACTATTCAGCTCTTTAACACTGTTTTCATACTAAACTATAATACTTATATTTTTATTAGCAACTCATTTAATTACTAACATGTTGACCGTAGTTGTAAGCATACACTTGTAACTAAAAGCGATGACATTTTACCAGGACGGCTTCGCTCCTGGGTATTTTCCTTTCTTGCTCTTATTTTTATGCGTTTTAAATTTATTTTGCTGCCGCTGTCGCAACATGGGGACAATGAGTGGGGAGGAGGGGAAAAGCGGGGGGCGGAAGAAGAGAGGAGCCGTTGGCAATGGCGCCTGTCGCACGCACGCAAAACTTCCGCCAGTCACACACACACACACTTGAACACATTTACGCATACGAGTTCATGTGTGTGTGTGTGTATGGCCTGGGGCATAAAAAAAGGAAAAAGGAAAATAAAGAAAACAGCGCTTGGCTTGCCAGTCTTCATATTTATTTATCGTGCCAAGTGATTCTGTGTAATTGCAGAAATTGCGTTAAATTATTTAACAAGCGGGCGCAGCAGCAGCATTTCAAATTCATTTACACTTCACGCACATTGGGGAGAGGAAATTGAATACAATAAATTTCGCAGCCAAAAATGCCACAGACCTGCAGGAAATTATTTTCCACCAAACACAGGGGAGACAGCAAACAAACAAAAAAATGGGCAGCCACAGAAATTCAATTTGCTATTTATTAGCTAGTATTAGTAATCTGTGTACGAAAATTGATTGTATAATTGTGTTTTTATTGCAGAGTGCATACACCAGAAGGCAATCGGATGCGAAATTTACTTCAAGGATATGAAAATAGCACATCAAATGGGCCATAAACACACGACAGCAAACGGAAGAGCTTAAATAAACCAAAAAGAGTACAAAACAGCAGCAGCAGAAGCAACAAAGCCAAGTCGGCAACAATCAACAGCACAAAAGCAACACACTGCCAAAGAGAAATCTACCAAAGAAAAAAAAAGCAAAAAAAAAAAAAAAAAACACTGCACAAATAAGGGGAAGTCGGAAAGAAAAGTGAAAGCCAAAAGCCGAAATTGTAAACGCTCCATGTAAACACTTGAAAGCTCGTTAGGATAATACATCCTGCCCGGCACCAAGCACACGCTGGCACAAAAAAAAAAAATAGAAAGAAAGGGCAGCGCGGAGAAAGTAGGGAAAGTGTCACCATGCGCCGTCCCGCGTGTCTGAGTGGCCGCCAGCTGAAACAACGGCACCACGCCCACGAGCACCCGCCCACCCACACAGACACACACATGCGCCAGCAGGCCATTGCCATTGCCATTGCCGTTGCATAGTCGCGCTTCCGTTTCCGTCTACTCCTCATTTCCGCTGCGGCTGCAATTAAGCGAAGCAGAGCATCCCGAAAAACACACCGAATATCCACAAAATGGCGCACGAGACCAGCTTTAATGGTAGGTATCCATGGAAATTCTGGCAAATGGGCCATTAAATAGACATTTTATTTCAAGCTAAATTTGTGAGTCCTTAAGTGGCGAAAATGTGTTTCAACAACAATTAAGAGCAAAAACCCTTGCTTAACTATTTAGTGAATGTATTCAAATTCGTTAGTATTCCAGATAAAATATTTCATTTTATTATTTAAGTTTAAAGTATCGATCCATTTGCCTAAATCCACTTTCTTTTTATATACAATTAATAAACAGAAGAATGAGTAAAGCTTAAATTAAATACTACTCTTAGGGCATTTTTGGATTCAAGCAATTGATTTTCTTAAAGCAAGCTTTTTAATATTTATAAATATTTTCTTATTTTACTAAAGGCAGAATAAAAGCACCCCATTATATCAAATTCTATTTCTTTTTTTACAATCAGATGCGCTCGACTACATTTACATAGCGAACAGCGTAAACGACAGGGCCTTTCTGATAGCCGAACCACATCCGGAGCAGCAGGGCCTCGATGGCCGGGAGCAGGACGAGGAGGAGGAGGAGCAGCAGCTGGAGGACATGGCGGTCACGGAGGACGTCCAGCTGGAGGACACCAATAACAACAACAGCGACCGCTACTACAGTTCGGGTAAGAGACGCGGGAATTTCATTAGTTCCCTGGCGCTGAAACCACCGCCCACCGATGCCAGCACCACCACCACCACCGGTTCCCCATTGGCCACCGCCGCTCTGGCAGCAGCCGCTGCAAGTGCCTCGGTGGCAGCAGCGGCTGCCAGGATAACGGCCAAGGCGGCACACCGGGCCCTGACGAGCAAACAGGACGCAGGATCTGCGCCGGCATCCTCGCCAGCCCTTCAACTGATCGACATGGACAATAACTACACGAATGTGGCCGTTGGCCTCGGGGCCATGCTCCTCAACGACACGCTCCTCCTCGAGGGCAACGATACCAGCTTGTTCGGTGAGATGATGTCGAATCGCAGTGGCCAGCTGGATCTGGCCAACGGAAGTTCGGGCCTTAATTTGACCACCAGCAAGGTGGCCGAGGATGATTTCACGCAGCTGCTGCGAATGGCCGTCACATCGGTGCTGCTCGGCCTGATGATACTGGTAACCATAATTGGTGAGTACTCACTGAAAATCGAACAAATAAGACCTACACTCGAAAAATAAAATGAGTAAAGTAAACCAATATTTTAAAATGGCCCTGTCCTTATGTTAAAGGAAAACATATTTTTTATCCTAAAACCTCTGGCAGTTATTATTATTACTATACAAAATCTTTTAAACGTTCACTGCTCATAATTTTTTTAAGTAACTTAATAAGCGATTCCAAAACCCAAATCTAAGCTTAAATACCATTAGCTTTGTTTCTGAAAATAATCATTTATTTTATAATATTTTAAACTAATTAAACCTTGACTTCTAAACTCATTTGAAATATTATTTTGAGTGTAAGCCAAAGCCCAAACATAGACATAATTATTTCAGACCTCATCCCGGCCGAAAGCCCCCAAAGTAAATTCCTCGAATGCCAGTCTCAGGCACGCGCCTGCTGCCTGCCTCCAAATCCGTGGGGAATATGGCAAACAATTCAATAAGGAGGACCCAGGGGGAGTCGAGGAGGCGGGGCCGTCGGCTTCAGTTGTAGATAATAAAATACGCGTAACTGATATTTATGATACTGGCAGGGCATTTTATATTATTTATTATTGTTGTTATTATGGCTCAGATGCTGAAGCAGCAGCAAAAGCAGCAGCAGCAGCAGTAGCAGTAGCAACATCAGCTCAGTCTCAGTTATTAATAAGGCAGCTCAATGACGAGGAACGAAAACCGGAATGGGCGGGGCGTTCGCATTGGGAACAAGAATGAGAACGAGAACAAAAGTGGGAAAGGGGCCGTCTTTTGTTGTTGGCTACATTCATTACACGCATTTAGCCATAAATCCGATGGCAAACAAACCGGCATCCATCTAGGCAAAGACATGCCGCATTAAAATTGACAGTCAATCAATCAATCACAGTTCCCCGCCCATCGCATTCCAATTCCAGCGCAAAACTTTATGTTCACGTTGTAAAATCCAAAACAAAATGTATAAAAATCAGGCAGTAACAAATGAAAATGAGGCGGCAAGGAGGCTAAATAAGCAAAGCAGCCGGCTGAAATTGATTTCATTAAATTAAGTAGATTTCATTTCATCTCATTTCATTTAAAACGTCCAACAGCCAAACAGCACAAAAGTCAAGAGGCAAATAAAAATAACGAGCGCTGAAAAGTATGCTACGATTCTTAACTTCACTCCCAAAGGATCCGAGCTGATTTCCGCCCAAAGCCATTCACATGTCTCGCTTCCTCTCACTTTGTTTTCATTTTGATTTCCTACTAATTTCTGTTTATTTAGTTTTTCCTCTTCCGCCGGTCCTTTCTTTCTTTCCCAGCGATTCTGTCCCATTCCGCCTTTTAGTTTTCCTTTCCTTTTCGCTGAGCTTGTCTCGCTTTTGAACTTCTGCAGTTTTCGTCGCCGTCCAAGTGGGACGGCACCAGCATTTAGCATTTAAAAAGAAAATGCTAATGAGTCTTAATGCTAATTTTAGCAAGATTGCTTCACGCTTTTGGCCACTGTGTGCTGCACAGAAGAATATAAAAAGTATCCGGAACGAAATGTCGACCGTGGGGAATGCCTAAAAATATACGAATTCAATGGTAATATTTTTTGACCCACTTGTTATTCGTTTTAAAACTGATTCGGTTGGAACTTTAAGGGTAGCAATTATTTATTTTTGAACAAAATTGAGAAAATAGATTTGGGTTAAGTTTTTGAATTAAATGGTGATTTAAATTTTTAAGGCACTATGTGAGTAGAAAAAAGTTTAAGAATTTTGATTTATTATAATCTAGTAAATTACAATCTATGTTAGTCGTAAACGAAAGTACATTTAAGTATGTTATAGTTTTATTCCAGTCGTTTTTGGTTTAATTTTATTATAACCAATAATAAAATCACCAATATAAATCAACTTGATAACATTCAACTTGTTTTGTTTATCTTTCACTTAGTGTATACCTTTCCTTTTAAATATACCTTTTGGCGATTTAAGAACAAAAAATTGTAAAGCCTGAAACCATTTTGGGACGCAGTGAGTTGACCCGTGAGAGGACACTACGTGGAACTCAAAAACGCAAACAGCTGGCAGGCATGAGGCTTGTCTACTTGCCTTCACTTTGACACTCAAGTATCTAATTGCATGCGCCTTGCAAGTATGTGTGTCTGTGTCTGTATCTGTGTTTGTGTCTCCAGGCAGGTGGTTTGAGCGCGTGCAAGCCCTCCTGCCGTCGACTGTCGGCGGATTCAATGCCACAAATTGCATGTCTCGCACCTGTAGTGGCTGGGCTTTCTTTTGCAGCCTCAAGTGCGCCACAAGTAGTCGGTGACAGTGGCGGAAAAGCGACGGCGGAGGTAGTGAAAAAGTAGAGAAAAGTCAAGAAAAATAAGCGCACCGGCAGACATCAAAGGTGGTAGTTTCCCATACCCCCTTTCCTCCCCTCAAATCCCCACGAGAGCTCAACCCCCCAACGTCAATTTCACACCCTTCGTCCTGATACTGCGGGCTTTTGGCAAAGTTTACGACAGCGCGATTAGCTCATGTCGTTTATTTTGGCTTTTGTGAACTTTGTCTTTGTCTGCCAGCTCTGTTCGAGTGCAACTGGAATTGCAACAGTGCAATGCTGGGAGACAAGCTTAATAAGATTCCCATTTCATTGGTCGCCCCGCTCTCGGCCATCCGAGGAAGTTTGCCAATTCCGAAAAACTTTATCTGTTCCGCTGCGGTTCTTGGTTTCGTTTCGTTTCATTTTCAGTCATCAGCTGCAGCTCGACTTGAATCGAAAACTTTTTGTCTCGAGTCAATTTTCGCAATTAGGCTGCCGAAAGCCCGACAACACAAAAACCAAAACCCAACACCCAACACCCAATTCGATTTGCGCTCTTCATTTGATTAAGTTCAACCTTCGATCATTGCAGGCAATGTCTTTGTCATCGCGGCCATTATCCTTGAGCGGAATCTGCAGAACGTGGCCAACTATCTGGTGGCCTCGTTGGCCGTCGCCGATCTCTTCGTGGCTTGTCTAGTGATGCCCCTGGGAGCCGTTTACGAGGTGAGTAGAAGGTGTCCAAGAAAACAATGGTGGTGCAGGGATTTATTAAACATTTAACCACGAACAAGCAAACACAAGCATCCATTAGTAGAGCAAATATCTCCGTGCACATTTATTCAATAAATATTTTTGTTGCTGTGGCACAATAGCAGACATTTAAAACACATAAAGTATCTAAGGTAACATTCAATGAGTTAAAACTTGTAGCTTACACCAAACTGAGTTATTTCTTCAGGATATTAACAGTTTTACATATTTTATTCCCTCAAAACATATTTTACTTCCAATATATTTTCAAAAGCACTTCCATAACAAAAACTATTACGCTGAAAGTCAAGAGAGAAACATAAATTTTAAATATTGCTGCATAAAATTCAAATGTAAGAGGTTTGAAACTCCTTTCAGTATCCAATGGCAATGATTTCAAGTTTCCTAACTCACGGACCTTATCGAAACTCATTTGTAGCCATTTATGTGGGAGTCCGGACTCATAAACACTTAAAAAGTATTCCATAAAGACGAACTTTAGCGGCGACCTTGGAGAAATAGGAATTCGCATCTGGTGGGTTTTTGAGCAGAGTTCCTCGCCGGCGATCATGAGGGGTTTGTTATTCATTCGCTCTTGATAAAGTTGTAACAAGTTCCAGTTCGGCGTTCGTATTGCATAGGCATAGCTTTCGTTCAAGCTAGTGACATGGTTAAACATAGTCGACTGATTTACAACGACTACAAGATCCAGGAGCGAACTGAGGACCACGTCATTTTCAAAGGCCTGTAGAACAGATGAATCGTCTGTCATAATTTTGAGGCCACTCGCTCGAAACGTTTCCGCATTTGTGATCTCAGGCTCAAAAATACCGGTTGTAAGGGAGGTTGAAAATACGGAAATATTTGCACTTATGAGTAGTCCAACGAAGAAGAATATTATTACTTCCAAAATCTTTTCCGACAACGGCATTCGATTCAACTGCGCGGCGGGAACAGGAATTCCTAGGTAAAAACGAAAGGTGCTCAAAAGTGAATGAAAAAAATCTCTTCGACGATAGCCGAAGTACTTGACCAGAAAGATGCCCAAACATGAAAACATAAAAATCCTTTGAGCTTTTTGGGGAAAACCCCTTTCTACAAATCTGTGCAAAGGAATCCGTCTTCGATTCGAAACTACCAGGCAAATCCTTGAGTAAGCCACCACTGGACTATACTTAAGGCTGGAGTTGTCCACCAAATTGGCTATCACATCCACGGGCTGATCACTTGGCCTCAAGGAAATGTCGTCCTCGTATTTCTGCCGTCCCGGCATCACAATAATATCCATGGTGACATTTAGGTGGCGCATGAACTCAACCATCATCAATCCAGTGGTTCCGGACAAACTAATATTGCCACCGCCAGTCACATCTGCTTGTTCCGATGAGTTGTACTGCAAAAAAATCATTTTAGTGTTGTAGTATATAATACGTATATAATACAACTTACAAGTGACTCCCGTTTAACACAAACATGTTAAATTGCACATTATTTTGGTATTTTAGCATAATTATATGTAAGAGTTTAAAAAAACATATTTATGACGTATTTATTTGATAAATTTTCTGATTCTTTCCATACATTATTTTGGGAGAAGGCTTTTATTTTATGTATATTAATTAAATTGTTTTATACCAAAAATAAATTAATTTAAACGGAAACCATTTAAAATTTTCTAAACTGAGCCTTATAAAAAAAAAAAATAAAATTCACACTTACCCAAAAAATTGATGGGAAATCATTAACAACCTGAAGGAGAAACCTGTGGTTATCCCGTCGGATTGCTGTCGATAGGGTGGTTGAAAGGTCGACTGGACTGGTATGCACACCTCCCAAATAATAGTAGGACCACAATTCCAACTCAGACTCGCCGCGAATAATGATCATTGCCCGATCAAACCACAGATCCCAGCAAAGCTCGAAAAACTTTTGAATGGATTCCTTCTCAAATCTTTTTTCCACATCCAGCGGAGCGTAGATAAATATAAAGACCTTTTCGATATGACGAAGTTCCGGGTCATCGAGAGCGGCGAGTGTTGGATCATCGAAGCCAGTGAAGAGAACTACCGCCAACATTTCGGCAAATAGATATCGGTGTTTAACCGGTCCAAGATCAGATCCAACGCAATAAATGGGCAATGAAAACTCATCCATAAGTAGTTGTTGAACTGAAGGCCTCTGATCAAAGTGACCCGTATACAGAATAATGCTGTTAATTCCCATGTCCTCCTGCATTTGCTTTGCCAGATCGAACAATAAACTTATTTCGGGGTCCAGTTTGTGGTCCACTTCTGCGACTGGAACCTGAAGTTGGCTGCCAGCCAGGAGGCCAAGGAAAATTAAGTTCCGTATGCAGAGACGAGTCGCCATGGCTCCTTTTCAACTTTGACCCAAACTGAGCTGAGTTGACCCTTTTTAAAGCCTCGCAACCCTTGTTTGCTTTGTTATTAGAAGCCATTACATTTTACACTCCACACTTTGGGAGCATCAAATTTAATAAGCCATCAACTTTTATTGTCTATTTGACTAACCAGCTTTATGGCCACCCACTCCTCTCTTTTCATGCGCCATAGATCAGCCAAGGTTGGATACTTGGCCCGGAGTTATGCGATATCTGGACCTCGTGCGATGTCCTCTGCTGCACAGCCTCGATTTTGCATTTGGTGGCTATTGCCGTGGATCGGTAAGTAATTACTTAGCCACCCCTCGTTCTCAGTTCTTGATAAATTGCCCCAGAAGTCTGCTTGTAAGTGGCGTGTAAGACAAGGCGAGTGGAACCCCTCCCCGAATATATATAATATATAGATGTATCCGCAGTTATCTATGTGAAAATGTGGCAGCTTGTGTTTGAGTTAAGCGAATCAATCAATCAAGTTTTTAACATGTCAAATCTCTTTACAAATCCAGTAATGTACTGAAAAAAATAAACCTAAAGCTGGTAAATATCTTGTAGCAAAACCACAAGCCGAATGACGAATGCTCTGCAATCGCAGAGCTATTTGTCATTAAAGAAAGTGCCCCATTTATGGAGACTCATGCATGAAGTTCAAAGACACTTGAGGTTTCTCCGCAGTTTCTGTTTCCCATTTCCTCCTTTTTTCCCGCACTCAACTGCCATCCGATGGCTATATCAATTTAAAATACATATATTCTCTGCCCTGGCATATGGTAACCATACACATATGGGAACATGGCTGGCTGCATGCCATCAATCAATTTGCAGCAAACATTTCAATCAATCGATTAAAAAACAGAACGCAAAACGGCAAACAACAAAGAGTAAAAGTGGGGGCAGTGAAAAACGAATTGCATTATTCACTTGGAAAAAGCAGTGGGGTGGTGGCACTATGAACTCGTTGTCGATTCGAATGTCAATTTTATTGTCAAGCATCCAATGCCAGCTAATTTTCGTGCACTTGCCGCCAGTGACAATGGCAGTGGAAAAATGTTTTCCACCGCAGCGGAAAATGTAAGGAGGGGAGAGAAGGAAAAACGCTGGTGTGGAAATATAGTTGTCCTGGCTGGCAGTTTTATGGCCACTTAGCTGCAAGATTGGTGCAATTTTCCAATCGGCCCACACGGCGTGTACGTAATGCAGTTCGAATTGCTGCGACCCATGACACTTTGGCCTGTTGTGTGTTTAATGAACACTCAAATGCAAAGGCCGGAAACCAGTCACTCCCACTTCCCTTTCCACGGTCCAATAGTATACCTCACCCCCAAGGACATAGTAATTTCCAAATTGTTTGCTGCACTTGACCGGGTAATTCCGTTTTATTAGGAACAGGGCTGCGAGCCGCGGGTTTCCAGCTGCCGTTGGCCAATTCCCGCATGAGCTGAAATTATATGGTCGCATTAATTGGCTAGGCTGAGGGTCGATGCGGGCCAATTATTTGGCGGTTTCAATAAGAGCGACCGACCTGCCAACCGAGCCATAAATAATGCAAATCGCTTTCTTTACCGCTGCAATGTGGCGTATACGCAATATGCGGGGAGCAGCTTATTAAAATTCGACCGGGAGCAGGCAAAGAAAAAATGTGTCAATACGTCAATAGTATAATGCTCTCAAATAATCTAAACATTATTTGATAAAATAAATACAATACAAATTAAAAAAATATATTTTTAAGTTGGAGAACTAAATATGTAGGTATTTATAATTTTTCATGTTTCAATTCAAATTTTTTTCTCTGTAGAAAAGCAAATAGAAGAACTGTTGTTTGTATTTCTGACTAATTAATGCATTAAAATGACTCGAAACGGTGACGCATCTGTGAAATATGTTTAGAAACACTAAGTGGCATTTAAATTAAATTAAACTTCAATCAAATGTGCTTTCAAAAACTATCATTTTGAGCGTGGGCGGGGAACTGGTCTTCGGTCAGGTACAAAAGAAAAAAAAACCCCGAAAATTCCCGTTGATGCCCTGTGATGTGGCTGTCAATTGGCAAATTGAAGTGCTGGCTCCGCAAATTGCCTGTCAATAAACAAAGCCAAGTGATGCTTAGATTTCGCATGCATATCAATCAGCCGAAGCCCGGGCTTTAACATTCCGGCACTTCAGCAGAAAGAACGTCCCTATCGTTGGCACCTCGAAAAACGCCACTCGCCTGTCAGCTGGACACCGAAAAGAATGCCCAAGTCCCACTTCACATTATGATTGTACTCGTACTCCACTCGTATATCTATCTATACGTTGGACCAGGACCAATGGACCAATTCCATTTCTGGTCGCAAAAGTATGCAAATGACGAGGCATGACAGCAGCGTTGATGATTCGCCCGAGTGCCAAATCATCGTCAAGATAAAGGACCCCCAACTCAGGACCAGACTTTTGGGATGAAGATGACTCGCTTCCGGCTTCGGAGTTGGGGGAAACAATTACCCGAGCGAGGACTTAGGGGCACATTTTATTTGTTAGTTGTCACTAGATATTTAAAATGGAAAGACTTTGTTTTATCACCAAATGAAATGAAAATTAATGTGCTTTTAAGCAAGCAGCAGGCGCTTCCTGCAGGACGAAACGAGATGGGAGCAGTGCATTAATAAATTAAGTTTGTCAAATGGTCCCCGACTCAGGGCGCCCAAACAGGATGATAAATAGTTGCCGACATTCGACTATAATAATATTTGCAAGTATTTGCCGTTAGGACGGCCAAATCGTTGACAATGCGTTGCCGGAACGGAGGGGAGAAATGGTTAACATTTTCCGAGTTCATTTTCCATGTCAGTAATTTTTAAGCAATTAAGACAAAGTGCCAACAGTATTTACAGAATCTGGAGATCGGAGGGGTTACCGAAGGGCGAGTGGCAAATAAAACAAAGAAGGCGAAAAGGAGGAGCGGCTGAACTGAACAGCAATGCCAGGGAATTTTTCCTTTTAGTATTTGCTAGCACAATAAGGCCTATAGGTACACAGAAAAACAGAAACATTAACGAGTACATAAGGAATGCATAAATACGATTGGATATCCTTTTCACTTTCAACAAATTGTTTGCTCACTCATTATTTTACAATTAGGTAAATATAAAATAAGTTTTATTTATCAAAGTTATATTCTACAATTATTATCTTTTCTTATAAAATTTTATTATCCAACATGCACAATCAAAACTGCTAGTGGAAACATTAGCTTAGACTTTGTGAAATAACAAATTTGAACTTCCAAAATTTTTCTGAGTGTAATAAAAGCAACCGAAAACTGGGAGACCGCGCCGGCAAATGGCGCCCGGACATTAATCTTCATGGCACTGACCCAACGTTTCGGCCGATCCTGCCGAATTCTGTTGGCCGCCGGAATATATGCACATATAGAACAGGCCCTCGTGCACACACACACTTATACACTCATACACTCCACGCTCGATGTGCATAAATTTTATGGTCTGCATGCGGCTGACGTCATTATTAGTGGCAGCACACGAAACCAACTACAACGGCAACGGCAACGGCCTCACCGAATGATAAATGCCTCGCGGCTTTGCCTTCCACGTTGGTGGAAACCATTTAAATGGCAAGTTCTCGCAGCGGCCCAAAAGGCGGCTTCATCTTCTCCACACCCGAACCCAGATCATGGCACTATTCCGATTGCTGACTGCTAACCGCATTGACCAACAGTTTGTCGGCCATGTTGCTGCCGCTTTCGTGTTGCTCGTTCGCATCGCTGCTCATGTTGCTCGTATCGTTGCTACTGTTGTTGTTGCTGCTGTTGTTTTTGCTGCTGCTGCTGTTCACACATTTATGACATATTCAATTAAATTTCAATTAAGTTTACATAGTTTTTGTAAATATTTAACAATTTAGCACTTAAAACGTAATTACATGTTCATATTCGCTTCCATCGACGATGCTGCGGACTCCGAGTTGCCATCCTCGCAGTAATCGTCGATGTTGCTCTTGTTGTTGCCACACTCTAACCACAACTACGGTACAACAATAACGATAAAAACTACAACTGACACTGCGACCACTTCGTCCCATGTGCTGTGTGCCATGTGTAATTGTAATTGCTGTTGTCAGACGATTATTTTTTTGTTCGGCTTGGTCGAAAGCCAAGCACTGAATCGAAAAAAATCTGAAAATGGGAAGTGGTTAACATTTTCATGTAGCCGAATTTCCGGTCCAAGCAGGTTAACAATTTACTTAACTTAAAGGCTTTTCTGTATTAGATTTTATTAATAATAAACCACTTTCTTCTAATATGTTAAGGAAATTGCTTTCAAAGGAAATTACTTTTATATCCGAAATAGATTTTAAACGAATTAAATTTGCAAATATGTTTTAAAATACTATTAAACTTTTTTTTTAATTCCGCTGTTTTTGCTAATCGGTTTTAGGCATTTTAGTTAATGTTATTCAATTTGCCTCTAGGTAGTCATGTGGAATTTTTCTAGCTAATATTTTGATTCACTTAGGGCAAATGAGAAAACTTTTCGCCGCCACTGTGCACGCTCGGCTAAGTGCAAATGCACATTGTACTTATTTTACATAATTTTCATGCTGTCGCGTTGCGTTTTAGGCAATGGCTTCCGTACGCCAACCACCTCTGAACCCTTAACCCCTAAACCCCCACCTCTTAACCCTTGCAACCGCATTACCGCAACTTTCATGGACGGTGTGAAGAGAAGGGGCAACTTTTGTAATTGCACAAATGTTGGAACAATTTTTGGGACAACGGTAGCGGTCGGGCGGCGGACAAGCTCAGCTCAGCTGGCAGATTAGGGATTGGCCAGAACAAAAGCATAACCTTAATTAAATTGGCAGTTAAACAAACGCGTTTAACAGTATAATTAGTTTTCCTGGCCAACAGAGATTGAGACAAAGAGGTTGGCAACATGCAGTGACTACGCTTCATTTGCTTTACACATTTAATGTGTGTTATGTGTAATGTGTGTCTCTTCTCAAATGTTTAATGAGACAAAGTAGCAAGCTGGCGACGCAACACAGGGGCAATAACAACACAAACGGCAAAAGCCGAGGCAAACAAACGGAAAATCAACCGAGCAATAAAACCGGATATGTTACTAAGACATTTACGTTATCTCCTAATGCCTGAAACACTAAAACAAACCTACACATGCACAGGAAAAAAATAGGATACTTATAAAAATATTGAAATGGTTTTACAGTATTAGTACTCAGAAAATGTATTAATTATAAATGCAATATTTTAGGAATGTGAT